TAAAGTAAAATAGATATCATTATTTTGTTATTTTAACTTGCCATTTTTAACCAAGGAAAATTTATTTGATCTAGGATAAGATACTAAAATCTGATATAAATCTTTATTTCTCAAATAATGGCAAAAAAATGGAATGTTAATAATTCGTAAAGAATTCAAAATGTATTTTGTAATTTAAAATAATCTGCTTGTAACTATTACAATTTTCGAAACAATTTTCAGAAAGATTACTATCATTATTATATCTGATTATTCAGAATTAAATATGTGTAATGGAAGTATTACTAAACTCACATTACTAAAATTATAGTTTATAATTTTCTAAAATAATTCTAAAATTAATTGTAATTTATAAAGGAAAAAGAAAATCTATAACTTGTCATTTTGAATCTTCAGAATATGCGAAAGGATTGAAAATTATTACCCTATTATTTTAATTTTCATTTGTTGAATATAATGTATATGTTGATGCAATAATGTCACTTTAATTTCGTTCCAAATTTATTATTTATTCTAATATTTTAATATATATATTTTTTTTAATGGTAATTCTGGATAAGGCAGCAAACAAGATTGAAAATACAGACAAATTCTAAGAGAACTGAGTGAGATCTTTGCCCTGCATTGGGATATGACTCACCAATAACAAATAGCTTGAAATTACAATATAAATATTAAAAAGTTATCTATAAATGTTTCGTTTTTTCCCCTTTCTTTTAAAATGCATGTCTGTCGGTCTATATTATGTATCATAAAATATAATTTAACGTATACTTAAACTAACAGAAATAATTATAGATAAAATCTCTTAAAATCCTTTATATGGTATAAAATAATTATCTTCTCATATATTCTTATATGCCTTAGTATTATTATTTTTAAGATATTCAAAAGAATATAAATGTTTTGTTTATATTTTTTATTCAGAAAAAATAAAAAAATTTTCTATTTGAAAACTGATAGCATTTTGATTTTATTATGAATATGATACATTATATTTATATATATTATCATTTCAGACCTATCTCTGAACTAAAGTTTGTATTGCAGATATATTAGTAATTTTTAAAACAATTTATGAAAAATAAATATAAATATATTAATCACGAGATTATTTTTTAACTCGATAAAAGTAAAATAACATACATAAAATATTTTTTTTTGATAGAAAAAAGTTGTAAAAATTTTCTTCTGCCTAAAGAATTTTTAAAATCTTCAATCATGGATCAACATTCCTATGACATCTATTGAACTGTGAAATTCTTTAGACATTCCAGAGATATTTAATAGAAACTCGATGTTATATACACTTTTTTCTAACTGAAAATAATACTGTTTATTTAGTTTCTTTATTACTTCTATCAATTTTAATCGATTTATATAGGTTTTTTTTTAATTTAAAAAATAATAGGATAGTGCTAAATGATCGTCTACAATATCAATACATTATATCTCATTTCTTTTCTTCAAATGCCTGTCGTGCCGAGTTAACTCTAATCGTGTTATTGTAAGAATCATGTTACCGACATAACAGTCTTCTTCTTTTTTTTTCTTTAAATATTTTCAAATCCTCTTTACACATTACCTAACTCGGACATACGAGAACATCTCAATTAAAAAAGATAACTTTCTATATTTTTTTAATTACCAAACTTAGCTTATGATCCGGAAATAATCGTGAGCCAGAAGTTCAAAATTCTCTTTCTTGTTTTTCTTTTTTATTAATTTGCGAACAAACTGGATCTCGTAGGCATTCGTGTTTTACCACATCGACTACACGTCCAAGGTTAACTAGAATATTGCTGAGTAAAAATGAAGTTGCTGATACTAGAATTTGCTACACTTTAATGTTAAATGTAGTATTGTTTCCATTAACAGTTAATTATTTTTGAATAATATTGATTAAGTTCCATAATTAGCTGTAATTGTTTAGTTAAGCAACGAGTTAATGTGTTCTAAATAGATAATATGATAAAACTATTACTTAAAAATTAATTTACGTTTATTATATCGTTTAAATAAATTTTAAAATGCAAAAATAGGTTAAATAAAAGCACAAACGTTTATTTAAGGAAATTAAATGATAAAATCGGACGTTATTTGTTCCAAATTATGAAAATTGTGCGTGAGAGTCATTTATCATTGTGAAATTATAGCCTGCTTTAGAAATAATTTTTGAGTATAAACTTAGAGTTAACGGTTTAAACATAAAAAATTTTCTAATCTTAAGTAAGTTCTTGTTTCTTGTTTAATGAGAATGGCATTACAAGAGAATGTGCCTACACTTAAAAAATACTTTAGAAAGAAATTCTCGGAAAATGACGTGTTGGCATGTATGGTTCTATTGAGTAAAATACCTTGTTTATGAGTTTCTTAACAGCTCTAGCGAATGTTAAATTTTACTTAATAAGAAAGAAAGGCAATTAAAGGATTTTTTGATTTTTGACCTTTTATAATTGGATGCAGGCATAAATTTTTAATTAAAAAAAGTAAAAAACAAAATTTTACCCATGCTCCTTAAAATGCAATGTAATTTCTTGTATAGGTCCAAATTTACCAAAACGTTCTAGTAATTGTGTGCGTGTTGTTTCCTTTGGAATATTTCCTACATAAACAACTCTACGCTCCTCCTACAAATAAACATCATTTTAAGGCAGTTTTTTAAATTGTAGATATACTAACATAAACAAAATGAGCTTATCCAAACTGCTTAAGAAATAATAATTTAATAATTTTACAGCTAATATTAATTTTGCTTCTCTAATATTCTTCAAAACTACAATATTTATATTTGATAAAATTGCCAGGACAATAATTGTGTAGACACAAAAACATCATATTGTAAAATCTTTTATATTGAACTTAATGATGTAAATTCACAAAAATTATAAAATTATATATATAATTTTTTTGTGTCTACACAATTATTGTTCTGGCAATTTTATCNATCTTGTATCCATTTTAATAATTTCAAATTTTATTAATTACAATACATGATTTCAAATAAAGAGGAAATTTATGAAATTTACTTTGAAATTTGTTTTCTCAGCAAAACACATCAGTTCTAATATTAATCCTGTTTAACTTTATCTAATTTGATATCACTTCTTTTAGTAGACATAATGATATCTAATTAAACAGTTAACAAATATAGTAAATTTGTAACAGTAAATTGTTAATCATATAAGCATTTAAAAGAAAAAAAATACTACATGTAATTTTTTTTCTTTCAAATGTAAAATTTGAAGATTTAAAATAGTCTTTAACACTCATAAAACAATTTTAAAGTATTTAAATTCAAAAATTTTTAATTGTAATCTGTAATGTATTTGTATTGTATTAAAGTATTAAAACATTATTTTATTTTATATGGGCATTCTTCTAATACATTGACCACTATATTAATCAAAGTTCTCTTGTTATTATATTCTGTTGGTTTATGAAAATAAATGACAATATTCAACCAAACAGAGATGTTGATGTAACTTGACTAGAATTAAATACACTTTGATAAGAATCAAATTAATTTATAATACAAATCTCACTTTTCTTTTAATTTTCATTTATCTGATCTAAATGATATGATTTACTGTACATATAGATTTATTTTACAAAAAAAACCTTATACAGAAATCCCTTATGTATAATTGGAACTTTTATATTATTTACTCTAATAAAGTAGCATTTTACACCATATTAATTCAGCATTAAAAGTAAGAAATTTTATTGTTTAGACAATAATGAAATTAAAGTCTATTTTATCCAATCTTTGGTCAAATAAGAGCATTTATGCATTATGGAATATTTCCCTAAACTACTGTGTAATTATTTTACTTTGAATATCCTTATAAGATTTAATAAGAATTTATGTCAATTATAATCAGTTCAATAAAGTTTTTAATAAACTTTCTAATTATTCATACTTATTATTTGAACACTTTCAATTGTTGAAATAATTTACTCATTATTATTCTACAGATGAAGTCATATACATACATAAGTTATTACCATTAAATGTACAGTTTATATAAACAATTTCAGTTTAGTCAAAAACAGGTTCTTAAAAAGTAAATGGAATGTAAATAATATCTAGTTTATTAAATTTTTGCCATTATTTCATTTTCCATTAACAATTACAAAACAAAAGTCAATCATTTAAAATTTACCAAATACTACCTATTAAAAATTAACAATATTTATATTATTTGCTCCTTAAAAAATTACTTTTTTTAAATATCAAGAAATATATAAAGACAAAACCATTATAAAATTTTATTGCCAAATTTAACAGTAAACAAATAAATAATTTAGATTATTATTGTATTCTAAACTTTAGAAACAAATAATACTTTCTATTATCGTCTAAATTTCAATTCATTCATCTTTAAAGATATATTATTAGTGACAAAGGAATTCACATCTATTTTATATGAGTAAAGATATTAAGACTAAATAAATAATATTTTAATTCTAAGAATTCTGGATTATATTTATAATTGAATCTATTATCAAATGTAAAAAAATTCTTATAAACTCTTTATATTTAATAAAAGTTTCATAGAAAGTTTGTTTTTCAATACTTGATAACTACTGTAAGTAAATGAAGCATAAAACAAGATATATTCAATAGTAATCATAATAGAAAATACAGTATTTTCAAAAAGCTTAATGTTTGAATAAAATTGTAGATGTAAACATTACAGCTCAGTGTTTTATATTAAATTTATTTATAAGATTTTAATATCTCAAATACACTTAGGTATTGTCAAATAAAATATTTATGCTCTAAGACAAAACTTTTAAATTTATACATGCAAAATTATTAAACCATTAAATTTTTTGGTTTAAAATATCATTGTTAACCTTGATAACATTGCATAAATGATAACAAATACTATTGTTTTGAACATGTTATATTAAGTTCATTTATAAATCTATATACAAAAATATACATAAATACTCAAGAATTTTAATAAAATTATTATTGATGATTTTAATATTTGGCATCACTAAATGCAAATGAAACAATTTATACAATAATTAAATAAATTATATCACAATGATTTTTAGGAAATATTAAACATATTCATATATATATGTTGATACAAAATTCTGGAAATGTGTTCTTTACATTTGGGATTGTACAAAATGTAAACACAATATTTTATGTGTAATTTCATTGTTTAAATGAAAAAATAATTATCCATATAGTACTCATTCTTTTTATTAATATACATAATTATTTTTATTAAAGTTTTCATCTAGTTACCTGTTTGTTGTTGAAAATTTGGAATTTTGTTGAGCTTTAACTACTTTAAGCAAAGAATCAAAATCCATGTTACTGTGATCTTGATTTGAAAATTGTTCTTCTCCAATAGTGAACTGAGAATCTATAAATAAATTAAAATATTTTTAAAATGTGTGGATTTCTTACAATAAAATACAAATTTCCAAATATTTTAATATTTTCAAATAAACTGTTCTATGTAAATTATAACAATTTTTCATAGTTCTGTTACTAAAACTAGTTTGAGAGAAATAATGCTTTTTTTAAATAGATCAATAACTGAATTCCTAAATATCAAATTTAATTAAGAATTTGACTATAATTTTAATAAATCCAATTCTTAAAAATGATTTCTTTGATTTTAATTAAATTCATCTGATTTGAAATTTTATACTCATATCAATACTTCCTTCAGAAAGAGCTCCCACTACACTCATTGGCAGAAGAGCAAAATAATTGTTATACATTTCTGACAAAGATCTTCATAGTTCCTCTTAAGTTAATTGCTCAAACCATATGATTATCCAATGGAAATTATTGAGTTTGTAGCTCCAAATGAACAAGTTAGTTCACTAACAAAAATAAACAAAAAAGGTTGGAAGGAAAGAGTAAAATGCTTAAAGTTAAGAACAAGTTTTCTTTCAAGTTTAAATTAATGAATTTGCAAACGAATTTGGTGAAAACATCTTTCAAATTGACAGAATGAATATGAAAGCTATATAATAGGGGTATAGATTTGTGAAGGGATCTCAGATGACCAACATAACAAAAGATACCTCAAGTCATATTACTACCATAAATTCAAGTAATAAAGTAAAACAGGTTCTTTTAATGAACAAACACACCACATGACATGAGAAATCACTTTTGCTGATTTATATAATGCTTTTACAAATGCTGATGTAGCATTTAATAAATTAAAAAATGAAAAACTCAAAACATTTTTTGAAAAGTACTGCAAAGAATAGGTGTCAGATAAATTCAGCCAACAAAATAATCATTTACCAGAGATGTACAAGAAGAACGATGTATCAATTTGAAAAAAGTTAGCCAGAGAGTATCTGGATAAGTTCTGACAAGACAATGTATTTTAAATAATTCAATGCAAATTTTGAGCCATCTGGTATATAGTATAAGATAAATTACTCCTCTTTGCATCTGATGCAGCACCATATATGGCTAAAACTGGCAATGCTTTGGAGATTTTTGTTATCCAAAGTTATTTAAAATCTTTGCAATTGTAAAGTGATTTGTCTGTTCCAGAGAAGCATCATTCAAAAGCAATGTATGTCTTATCACTGTTGCTTCATCCAAAGATGATCCATCTCACCTCTGTAAATCATGGTCTTTATCACATCTATAAAAAAAATTCACAAAGGCTCTGAATCTGTAAATCAATCATTTCTAGTATGAAAAAGGTATTTGTAAAGCTACCATCATCGTTACATCGTTAGTGAAAGGGGGTGAAACCCGTGCTACTCGGCGGTATTGCACGGGAGGAAGGACAAAGGGAAAGGGTGAGGAGAGAGTAGGAGGTAAGGGGAAGTGTAAAGTAGATAGGAAAGTTGGTGAAGGGAGTCATGAGCGCCTGGCGCCGCAATTATTTAAAATAAAACAGAGATACAAAAGATTACAGAGCGTACATAGTTGATGAACATGCCGAACAGGCCGCTGGCGCTGGTAAAGCTACCATCAAGAAGACAGGAATTTTAATGTCTAGACCCCAGTGTAGCACTTCCTCCCAAACCAATATTGACGAGGTAGGGTACATGGATATCACAAATAAATACTATGCAGATAATTTTGGGAAAGTGAAGAAAGTTATTTCTAGCTTTCAGAATGAGTTAACTTATATAAAAGTAAATTTTGCATTCATTGTGCAAATCATGAAAAAGTTGGAGGAAAGATTCTCTCTCTCTCTCTGAATCTATATGTTTAAGAGATTCAGGATGAAACTTAGCGCTGTTCAAGAAATTATTGCTAAGTGTGCATCAAAAAAATTGGAAAATATTTTAGAGAGAATAAGAGATGGCAATAGACCCTCCATATCAGACAAATTCTCTGCAATAAGGCAGGCATTGATAATACTTTTAATCCCAGTGAGATTACAGTGTTTAAGTTTGCACCAGGGTGATGTTACATGACATATAAAACTTACTTTTGCAATTCAAGGCTGTACTTAAAAGTAATGAAACTTCACTTACAACAAACAATTAAAAATTTTATACAGTGAATCATTGCAACCAGTTTTTAAAAAATGTAAAACACATTTACTTATTACATTAGGGTGTCAATTTTTAACCTTAGTATATTGGCAGGTAATAAATGGGATAATATATTATATGGAGCATTTTTGTATATAAATTACTGTGGTATCAAATTTGAAATATGCTCTAATGTTCCAGGATTTGGTTACAGTAAACTAGTTCTTATAGAAATTACAACCTAATTTCTATTATCAAATAACATACCTAAGTCTGAATATCTTGATTTACAAAACTGTCTTCGTCCACCAAAACTAAGATGTAATTTTGGAAGACTGTAATTATCATTACCACCTATAGAATTATATAAAATAAAAATATTTTAATTAAAACATTTTAAAAAAAATCTATTTATATAGAATAAAATTTTATATTTAAAAAAATTTTTGAATCAAGAAAAATTAATTGAAAGTAACATAAATGAAAATAGCTACATTTCTAGTAAAAATTTATCATTTTAATGATTCTTTTCTAAATAGGATAGTCTGACAAACAAACTCATGTACAGCATAAAGAATATTTCATCACTAAATACTTTTGGCTGCTGAAACACATTTCTTTGCTTATACACTAGTGTTTTCAACCTAATGCATAGACTATCCTCAGGTGACTGATTTTTGTAATATCAGTTACAAACTGTTCCAAAATAGAATACCATTAATATAGAATAATAGAACATTAAATTTTAAATATTTGAATATAAACATAGCATTCTAATAATTCCAACATAAATTCTAATATAAAAGTAACATATTTTACCGTATTTAGTTGTCATCATGTCTCTGTCCAAACCCACTCATTCTCAGTACAAAATCAACCATTTGAAATTGCACTCAAAAAATGTAACTGACAAAGGTACTGTATATAACATTAAAAGCTGTTATGTAATACAGTACTTGTATTTCACTGTAATGTAACAGTAAATTAACAGTAACAGTAAATTAACAAATAATTTATTACAGTATTCATTACAACTGTAATGAATACTGTAATAAATGAATAATGTAAATAAAACATAAACAGTAAATTAACAAATAAATTATTTGTTAATTTACTGTTTGTTTTATTTACATATTTTTAATGCCAATATTCAAATTTGCCTAATTCAAAATTTTGTCCTTCAGCTTCAAATTACCTAAGTTCTAATGTACTAAAAATATATAATCTTTTTCATATTCAATATCTTCAAACACTATTGAAATTTAAATTTATTGATTACAGATTAAAATAAAATTTCAGTTATCAATTTGATTTCATACATCATCAGAGAAATATGAATAGAATATATCTTATTAGTAAATTTCCAAATCAGTTTTTGATTTAATTTATAAATTTAAAAATATCTGTGCTATAGAATAATATTGCTTAGTAATTAATATCCTTAATCTTTATCATTATTATTGCAGTAGTTATTTCATTTATAAAAATAAGAATTCAAACTATAAAAGTTAATAAGAATAAGAACTAGAACAAGTTTCAAGCATCTTATTTATTAAAAATGCTTAAATTACAAATTTGTAAAAAATTATTTTATTAATTTAAATTATATGCATAAAATCTGAATTTTTTTATAATATTTGACAAAAACTATTTTAAGGATATATAGATTTTTATTAAAACAAGTTTTTTTTATTTTTAAACATTCAAAACATTTTAAAGTAATTATAACATCTTTAGCTGCATAATGTTCTGTTACAAAAGCAATGTTCAATAACAACAGCATCTAAACAAATAACTTTTAGATGTTGTCATTATTTGAACATTACTTTTGCTTGAAACGTGCAGCTAAAGACGAAAAACTTAAAAAGCTTTGCATGCCTTTTGGATGATGTCATTTTTAGACTCACACTAATCCAATATCTCAATTATCCAACACATCCTCTACTATGATTTATTTTTATGAAAATGTTAGTAATATATCCTATTTTTCTGTTTAGTCAGCTTCATTTCAATGTACAATATTGCACATTGGTGCACCATTTTATTTGCCCATCTGCCTCCAAAAAGAATTTATATTGAAGGGAATAGACATCATTCAGTGTCTTTAGGACTATACACAATCACTAATCTGGCACTCTTTTTGCAAGGAATGGCTAGATTAGCAAGAGTCTACTGTAATTACTTATAATACTATAAAGAATACTGTTTCATTAATAAATTTACTTACAATCTATAGCTTTATATGCATCAGTCCTGTTATGAAAAGTAATAAATCCATAATTTTCCCTATAAATTAAAAGTTAATGTTTTAAAAATTTTACAATAAATAACAAATAAATAATTAAAAAAAGTAAAAAACAAAATTTTACCCATGCTCCTTAAAATGCAATGTAATTTCTTGTATAGGTCCAAATTTACCAAAACGTTCTAGTAATTGTGTGCGTGTTGTTTCCTTTGGAATATTTCCTACATAAACAACTCTACGCTCCTCCTACAAATAAACATCATTTTAAGGCAGTTTTTTAAATTGTAGATATACTAACATAAACAAAATGAGCTTATCCAAACTGCTTAAGAAATAATAATTTAATAATTTTACAGCTAATATTAATTTTGCTTCTCTAATATTCTTCAAAACTACAATATTTATATTTGATAAAATTGCCAGGACAATAATTGTGTAGACACAAAAACATCATATTGTAAAATCTTTTATATTGAACTTAATGATGTAAATTCACAAAAATTATAAAATTATATATATAATTTTTTTGTGTCTACACAATTATTGTTCTGGCAATTTTATCAAATGTAAATTAGATTTTTTATTTGTATCATTACAAGAGGGAATTTTTATAATGTTTTTCATATTGAGGCTGATAAGTGGCCTTTAAATCAGTGTTTCTCAACCTCTAATGAATCGTCATCCCCTTCAACATAGTATCGCCCCCTTCACTACAAAATACCGATGCCGAGGGCCAAGACTAACGCCAAATTCATACTGCATCGAATAGACTAGTGACTAGTATAATGTTATTTGTTTAATTATTGTACGATATAACTAATAAAATATCTAATTATTCTTAATATAATGTTTTACTACATCGCCCAGAAAATTGTTTTTCGCCCCTCAAAATATAAATTGTTACTAATCGCCTCCTCAACATGGAAAAACGCCCACATGGGAGCGATATCGCCCCCGTTGAGAAACACTGCTTTAAATAAAGGTCAACTCCATCACAAGACTGTTATTTCCTGAGGTGTGAGAAATGGCATGAGACTTTTTATTGCATATATTATAAATTTATATATTATATATTTTTTTGTGAATTTACAATATTTATAACTTATATTTCATCATTAATACAGTACAATCAAGATTTATGTAATTATAGTTAATATTACACTCAATTATACTTGAGTTTATTTATTAAAAATGTTTTACTGAAGAAGAAATCTATCTAAAAAACAAACAAGTTTTCTTGGTTAAAATTATCCACGTAATCCATGTTAAAGCCATATGGTTACGAAAAAATGCATTTTGAATGTTTCTCCAAAATTAAAACATTCATTTGAATTATACTATAATTAAAACACTCACTTAATTAAAATTGTTGATAGATTAATCTTTATAATCACTCTCTTTCTTTCATTGACTTGAGAAGCACTAATCCATTCTATTACCAATTATTAAATATTCTTACCAGATGGTATTGATCTCTATACCCTTATTTAAATTTATTTTTTCTTGGTATTTAGTATTTGTATGTGTTCTTTAATCTTATCTTCATTGATTTTGAAAGTTAACATAAAATAATATAAAGATCCAAACAAAAGAATTAAAAAAAATATATCAGAAATATTTATTTTCAAATTATAATAAATGTATTCAAATGTTTAAAATATTTTTATATCTCAAATTATTTTACTAACATTTAAACAAAATAAAATTTTATTTATTTAATTATTTTTTAAACACTACTTACTAATTGTTTTATTTTTTCTTTAGATTTTTCATGATATGGAAAAGATTGAATGTCTACAGTCCTTTCTCTGCAAAACAAAATTAATAAATATTTGATAAGTATTAAATCAAAGCTAAATTTAAGAAAAAAGTGTTAACTATTGAAAACAAATTGCTAGATAATAAATTAACAGTTTGTCTAACATCAATTTTTTTTGCCTAATAAGTCAATTATACATTTATTTTTAAAATCATTGCTAGTGAAATACTATTTTCTTCATTTATTGAAAGTTAGTTATATACAGATTTTAAAACATTTTCTTATGAACTCAATTTAGTTTACACTAATATAAAAAGTACAGTCAAACTTGGATATAACAGCACCAATGATAATGACAACCCAGCTATAACAACAATATATTGATGGTCTGGCTAGAGCCCTATATGTTACATTACATTTTACCGATATAATGATAACAAAATTTTCTAATTTCTCAACATTTAGATTGATATTTTAGCCTGTTTTTAAGAATTTAACAGGGATGGAGAGTCAGAGTCAGGGAGTCGAATATTTCTACAAGAGTCAGAAGTTGATCCATTTTAAAAAGTACAGACTCAAGACTTGTATTTTTTGCCAACTCTCCATTCCTGGGATGAAGAGTTGCAGTCAGGAGTCAAATCTTTTCATGGGAGTTGGGAATCAAAGTTGAATTTTAAAAATACCAAATTGGAAGCCATGTATTTTTCCAGACTCCCCATTCCTGAATTTAATAGTGCATTGTATGTTATCAATTTTTCTTATCACTTTTGTAGTATTGTATTCATTTAGTTTCAGCAGAAAAAAACGTTTTGGTGAAAAAATGCATAGGCACAGGTTTGTAAATCAATAAACATGTTACTGTGAAGCACATAGGATCCAATGGAGTAGTGTTTCTATTGCTGATAACTCAGTGAAGGATTCAGTCAAGAAAGTTACCATTTTAATCCTTTAATGAGTAGTAATTTCTGCAAATGTTTGTTACAGTATACAGTAGGCAGTAGAGTGTTCAGTAAAGTGGAGTGTTAAAAAATGGCAAAGTGTAAAAATCTCTCCATTGAAGACAAATTTTCATCATAAAACAAATTGAAGGAGGTGTAAAAAAGTTTAAAGTTCGTAAGGATCTGAGCAACTCAACTATATGCACAATCTGAAAAGACTGCAAGAAAACACAAAAAGCATTCGATGAATCAAAAACGAATGCTAAGTAAGTAAGGAAACTTATACATGAAGATTTGGATCGTGTGATCTTAAAATGGTTCACAAAGCAGCAGAGCCTAAACATTTCAATTAATTAACACATTGACTGCCATGTATTACATATGTCATACAGTAACACTTCTGAAGGGGCCATTTATAACATAAGTGTAATATATAATATGATTTAAGGAAATTTCTGTGTAACATGTCTGCAATACATTTAACATATTATTCTGAGTATAGCACCTGTGTTTAAGTTAAAAAAATGTTTTTGGCACTAAATAATAATTAAATTTTGCATATTAAAAAAATTAATACGAAGCAAATATAATAATTGCTATAAATTTTTTTTTGAATAATTACACAAATACAGATAAGAAATTAACCAAAAATACAATATCAAAAGAAATAGACATAGATCATTGACCAGTATGATGAAATTGAACTTCTTTTATTAAGACCCATTCACAATAAAATCCAAGAAATTTCCTTAATTCACCAACAAAAAGGTTTCCATTTAAGATATATTGATTTTAGTTTCATTTGAGTCTTTAGTTTCATTTGAGTTCATATATTGATCTGTATATCTATTTGTTTCATGGACAATTATTTCAATTACTTCATTATCCAAAAATAATGAATAAATTTCCATTGGAGAGGCATTTGGATCAATTTATACTTGAAAGAAGACTTCTTTCTGAAAAAGCTTCCCATTGAATTTCTCCCATAGTACTGTATACATTAAATTTCCTTTTTCTTTATCATCAATAACCTCATCTTCATCTTCACAAATAAGCATATCAACAACTTTATCTTCTAAAGGTTAGAATTACTAATTTCTTGATCTTCATAATTGGAAATATCTTCATTATCACACAAATTTTGGATCTTCAAAATCTGAATCACTTGACCCAAATAGCAAACTATCAATAAAATTTTATATTGGATCCATCAAATAGCAGAACACCTATTTTAAAAATTAGATTCAAAACCCAAAACCTGGAGAAAAATGCAGACTGCTACATTTTTGGAATTCTACCCTGTATAATTTAGAGCAGTACCTAAAAAGAAACTACATGATATCCCATTTTGGATTATAGGATAACATCAGCAGACAAGTTAATAAGCAGAATATTAAAAATAAAATCTGAACCTACATACAAATTGTTAAACCTAAATGTAATTTCAATGCATCCCAGTATAAAATGGAAAATGATAGAAAAAGCTTACAAACAAATTTTTGGATACAAGGCTGTATCCAAAAACTAGTTACATTAATGTTTCAATAATTATTTTAAAATAGATAAAAGTTATTTCCACAAAAGAGGCAGCACAATGGTTTTGTGATAGGATCCAAACTTGCGGAAATCTGTATGATTACAATAGATAATAAACTAGCTACTTTACCAGGCACAGGTTCTTTACAGTATGATATATGTGGCTGACATTTTAATAGTATTCAACTCAGAAAAATAAATGAACTAAACATTAATTAATTTTTTCAGTTTTGAAACATATTCAATTTGAAATAGAACTTGACATAACAATAAACAGAAGTAATATAAGAGTTAAATTTAAAAAATATAAAAAAATTGTATCACTAATAAAACTATAAACTATGTCATATTGTCCTCTAGAAATATGACATAGTTTATTAAACTATAAGATATTTCTACAATTGTCACTGAACATAATTATGTAGGTAAGACACTTAAGAAAATGGGCATAAAGAAAAGGAAGTAGTAATCCCCAGAATACAGTGCTGAAAAAATTTCTGAAATCTGACACAATGCAGATGACTTGTAAGAAATTCTGGAAAGAAAACATTCATTTTGGATGTGAGAAATACTTTTCTCTCTCTAGCAACAAATGCCAGGAAATGAAATTTACTATGAAAGCAATGAAAATCAAGCACCTCCTGAAATGAAATACAAATTTAAGAATAAATGTGAAGCAAAAGTCATGCTGTACATTGTCATTTCATCAATGTGTTTCAAAGCCATTTTTTAAGAAGGGATCCCTTGCAATTGATGCTGACACAAACCAAAACAAATGTTTAAAGAAAATTCTAACCCTTTTCTTAACAAACATCATCAAAATAATGATTTCATCTTTTGGCCTGACAAAGCTTCAATCATGTAGTTCCTCAAAGCCAAAAACATTCCTTTTGTACTCAAAGAACATTTTCCATCAAATCTGCCACAATGCTGGCCAATTGAGGATCTCTTTGGATATTTGGCACAAATAATATATGAGTCTGAAATAGATTGGTGAGCAAAAAATACCATACAAGTGATTCAAAAAAATCAAACTTTCATTTTAAAAATTGATACAAAAGCCAACCAAAGGAGTTCCAAGTGTATCAAAACAAACTTATGGCACAACAAAAATCATGGGCCTTATGTTTCTGTTCATTAATTCTACACTATTGTAAATAAAATTTCTTATAAAATGATATATAATATTTAACAGTTACTTCAATTTTTTTATAAAACATTATGCTTTAAAAACAGTCCAGATGTTTTGTCTCATCCTGTTTGTCGGGATGGAAAAATCGTCTGGCACTCAGTTTTCCCGCCTTTTTATGAACGACTGTTGTCGCCATAGAAACAGCGATCAGACCATTTTGAAGATTCGACCGCTCATTGGTTAAAAGATATCAGACCATCGGCAGACGTCTTATAGAGCTGGTAAATGCTGATTGGTGGACTCCAATGCTGTTTCAATCCTATAAAAGCATTGAAGTTCTGGCGGGAAGTTCAGTTTGCTTCGGACACTAGGAAGTGAACTCACGCTGACCTTAGTTCGCCTAAGCTGTCTTAGAAGATTGCCTCATCTTGTTGTATTGTTGTGGACTTTGAATTTGTACGTCGCAAGGTGTTTTTCCGATGGACCTGTTGCAGTGGATGATTACTTTGAACTTTGTTAATATCTAATGTTTGTAATTCTTATATGTGAACTTTAGTTGTAACTGTACATATGTTNAAAACTAGTTTGAGAGAAATAATGCTTTTTTTAAATAGATCAATAACTGAATTCCTAAATATCAAATTTAATTAAGAATTTGACTATAATTTTAATAAATCCAATTCTTAAAAATGATTTCTTTGATTTTAATTAAATTCATCTGATTTGAAATTTTATACTCATATCAATACTTCCTTCAGAAAGAGCTCCCACTACACTCATTGGCAGAAGAGCAAAATAATTGTTATACATTTCTGACAAAGATCTTCATAGTTCCTCTTAAGTTAATTGCTCAAACCATATGATTATCCAATGGAAATTATTGAGTTTGTAGCTCCAAATGAACAAGTTAGTTCACTAACAAAAATAAACAAAAAAGGTTGGAAGGAAAGAGTAAAATGCTTAAAGTTAAGAACAAGTTTTCTTTCAAGTTTAAATTAATGAATTTGCAAACGAATTTGGTGAAAACATCTTTCAAATTGACAGAATGAATATGAAAGCTATATAATAGGGGTATAGATTTGTGAAGGGATCTCAGATGACCAACATAACAAAAGATACCTCAAGTCATATTACTACCATAAATTCAAGTAATAAAGTAAAACAGGTTCTTTTAATGAACAAACACACCACATGACATGAGAAATCACTTTTGCTGATTTATATAATGCTTTTACAAATGCTGATGTAGCATTTAATAAATTAAAAAATGAAAAACTCAAAACATTTTTTGAAAAGTACTGCAAAGAATAGGTGTCAGATAAATTCAGCCAACAAAATAATCATTTACCAGAGATGTACAAGAAGAACGATGTATCAATTTGAAAAAAGTTAGCCAGAGAGTATCTGGATAAGTTCTGACAAGACAATGTATTTTAAATAATT